CGGCTAGCATTTCCTGCTGCTCTATTACATTGTCTGCCTATCTTTAAGTCATCAGAAATAATCACCCCTAAATACCTTTCCTCAGATGTTGAGGTTAGGACTCTATCAAATATTCTGTACTCTGCCCTTGGGTTTTTACGTCCAAGAGGCATTATCTTATCGAACTCTGGGTGGCCTTTGTTCATTTGCCGAACACATGGCAGCGGCCATTTTAACTCCCGAACGGCCAGCGGTGTTCAGCGCCCAAACTATGGAACTGGAAACGGACACTTATTTGCGCAAACACTGCTGAGCCGCCAGCCTCCTTACCTCTGCATTCGGTAGTGTAACCGAATGCCTGTTCATTTGGTAGTTTAAACGTATGAACAGCATCACCCCAGATAGCCATGCCATGGAGCATATTCGTGTAACGAAAGACTATGGGAAAGACTTTGGCTCCATGGCGATTGAACTGTATATATGTGATCTGAGCACCATTCGGTAGTGATGTGCGCTCAGATCTAAGCTATCTGGGGATAGGTAGAATGTAAATGTTTTGTGTAGTAAGTGTAACATTGGATATTTTAATGTCTTTTATTGTCCTTTGTCTGCCATTGTCCTTTGTCTGTGGTTAATGGAGTTTTGCCTCTGTCCTTGGAGATAATTGGATTACTTCCCAATTATCTCCAGGACAGAGAGGAGGGATTGTGATGCATTGTGGGATTGTAAGCTTGTGATTGGTCAATGTCCAATATGTATCCCAGTCTTCCATCTGGTTCCCTAGGGGAGCATCCAGCAGGTGGGAGACCTGCATAAAAGCCAGGCAGGTAGCTCCAGTAAACCAGATTCTGCTTGACCCTCAAAACGAAGTGTCGTCTCGTTATTGCGGGAATTGGATTGTATGCTGATTGCCAGGAGTGTAAGCTGATTGTATGCTTTTCCTGTTCGGATGTTTCCAGTGTTCGTGTGTTTCCTGTTCGGAAGTTGGAGGATTCGTGTAGTTTGCAGTTCGGGAGATTGGTGCTTGCAGTAGCTGCCTGTGCATCTGAAAGGGGAATATCGCCTAAACGGTTTTTAACCTCTTGTGTGCAAAACGGTAGCATTATTATTAGAGAGTTGCTGGAGTTCAAGAGAACTCAGGTCCCTTCTGGGTTGAGGGTGGTTAGGTTGAGGCTGTTGGTTGAGGGGACTTTCAAGAACAAATGATAAGAGGTTGTGATCTGAGAGAGGAAATAGAGCGTTGTGAAGCTTAGAGATAGTGCATGCATTATAAAAGGTAAGATTGGGGGTTTTTGCTAGCAACATGTGTGGGAGTATTAGCCCACTGTGATAGGCCAAGGGAGGAGGTAATAGAAAGGAGTTTGGAAGCTACTGAGATCAGCGGTGGGTTAATGGGAATGTTTATTGAACCACAGCACACATATATATATATATAGGCGTAATCACAACAGAGGATCATCAAACAAAACAATACAAGCCACTCCCCGGCGTTTAGGACAGAATTAGGTTAAGACTCCATAACTGCACAATTATTATACAATAAACTAATTCCGTTCCCTTCTGTTTTACCTTTAATACAATAACTCAACTCCCAGACACACACATGCTAATGCAATTATCCCCTGAACATAAGAAAAACCTTTTGATCTGAGTTACACTTTGTATGTTGATTCAACAGTAACATAGTAAAATAACTAAGTTCAGCAGACAAAAAGGATCTCTTGGACCAGGCCCATAGTCTTTGGGCAGGATGCTAGACTTCCCGCCTCTCCAAGAGTCTGTGGCACGTGAGATCCCGTCACATCAGGCACATAGATCTTCTGCATTGCAGTGTGGACCTGTGTAGGTCTTGGAAGAATGTGAGACCTGATGCTTTAATGGGATAAGGCATTCTTCCGCATGATGCGGCCTCTGTCGACCACTGCCTATGACATCATGACTAGCCGATTCAGGGGTCTTTGGTGATTTATTAATCCTGCAACATCCATCAAATGATGGTTTCTTTGCTTGAGTAGATGGGAGTAGAGAGGCTGTGTGGCGTCTTAAATAGTGAGGCAGTTCGTCCGTTAGGCAGTCCATCCATGTTGAGTCATCTACTTCTTTCATCCAGGCCTGTGACCCTCAAATCCACAGCACCTTGTGTATTCTGTACTTGTTGTGTGGTTTCATGTTTAGAATATCTTCCTCTGAGGCCTGGACCCTACTTGTCACTGCCTGGAAATCCACATCGACAAACTCTAGGTCAGCCGCAAACATCTGCTTGATATCTCGCAGAAGATGAACGCCTGTTTAGTGGCTGGTGCTTGTGCACCTCCCTCTGTCTGTAGAGTTCATTGCAGGTATCTCTTATGTAGGCTGAGATATAGCCATCAGGGCCACATGGCCCGCCTTGATGGTCCTCTTTTGGATAACGGACCTCTGTAACATGGTGCTGATATCATGAAAGTCTTTGGATGCACTTGCTGTTTGTCGCTAAGATCTTCGCCCCATATTGTGAGTGCTCCATTCCAAAGAAGGACTACCAGGTGAGTAATAGTCCACTTCCTCTAGGAGAATATCAGTTGTGGGTTGTTGCACCAGAGCCTGCCCGAAAGTGAGGTAGGCCCTGACGTGCTGACAGGTTGGTTTCCCAGGGGGGCTATAGATGAACGGCATCAGAAGACCGTCCCAGTGAACCTGCTTGCTGTTTGTTGTTTTGTTGGCTGGTTTGGGTGCAGATTGTGGCTTAAATGGACACTATAGTCACCAGAACAACTACAGCTTATTGAATTTGTTCTGTTGAGTAGAATCATTACCTTAAGGCTTTTTGCTGTAAACACTGTCTTTTCAGAGAAAATGCAGTGTTTACATTACAGCCTAGTGATAACTTCACTGGCCACACCTCAGATGGCTGTTAGAGATCCTTCCTGGGTCATGGCTGCCTAAAATGCATCCAAACATTCAGTATCTTCTCCCTCTGCATGCAGATACTGAACTTTCCTCATAGAGATTCATTGATTCAATTCATCTCTATGAGGCGATGCTGATTGGCCAGGGCTGTGTTTGAATCATGCTGGCTCTGACACTGATCTGCCTCCTTGTCAGTCTTAGCCCATCCTATGGGGAAGCATTGTGATTGGATCAGGCTACCACTTCTGATGATGTCAGCAGACTTC